TAGAAACATCGATGAGAGAGAAACATCAATCGGCTGCCTCCTGCACACTCCCTACTGGGGATGTGCCCGCAACCAAGGTACATGCCCTTGACCGGAATCGAACCTGGGACCCTTCAGTCCGCAGGCTGACGCTCTATCCACTGAGCCAAACCGGCTAGGGCTGTCCTTGCTTTCTTATGGGAAATGGGAACAGTTGGGACAGGAGTCCAATTTTTTTAAAAATATATTTTTATTGATTTCAGAGAGGAAGGGAGAGGGAGGGAGAGAGAGAGAAACATCAATGATGATAGAGAACCATTGCTTGGCTGCCTTCCGCACGCCCCCCACTGGGGATCGAGCCCACAACCCTAGCATGTGCCTTTGACCGAAAAGGAACCCAGGGTTTTTCAGTCCACAGGCCGAGGCTCTATCCACTGAGCCACACCAGCCAGGATAGGAGTCAGGTCTTGAGCAGCTTTGTGACAGGTCAGGTGTCTGGTCTGCAGATGATGGGGGCGATGGGAGATTGGAAGCCGTGGTGGAGGCAGGGGATCTGACCCACGTCTCGTGAGGCTCCCTGTGGCCGCAGCATGGAGGGCGGTGCAGGTCTGAGTGATGAGGCAGGAAGACCAGGGAGGAGGCTGAGGGTGAGGTAAGGGGGCCATGATGGTGGGTGTGGAAATGGGAGACGCAGCTGGATTTTGGCGTTTTAGGTGTGGCCCCTGGATTTTGTTGTTGTTGTTTTTTAAGTGTTATTTATTGATTTTAGGGAGACAGGAAGAGTGATAGAGAGAGAGAGACACATTGATTTGTGGTTCTATTCATGCATTCACTGGTTGATTCCTGTATGTGCCCGGACAGGGGATCACACCCTGAACCCGCAACCTTGTCATATCAAGACAGCTCTCGCCCTGGCAGGTTTGGCTCAGTGGATGGAGCTTCGGCCTGCGGACTGAAGGGTCCCGGGTTCGATTCCGGTCAAGGGCATGTACCTTGGCTGCAGGCATATCCCCAGTGGGGAGTGTGCAAGAGGCAGCTGATCGATGTTTCTCTCTCATT